CATGATCGGGTCATTTCTTTAAGCCTCTCCAAGGAGTTGAAAAATTGCCCTTCCGGTATCCCACTGTGGGAATTACCCACTGAGTTGCTCTTTATGCCTGTTTCTGGGAGCTGACTGGATGCTGATTCTGGAGCCTGCTGCCAGGTCTTCTCAGTAGAAAGCTCAAGTTTCTGGAAAACGCCCCAGCCAGCACACTGTGTTTGGTGAGCTTCAGTATTATCTACATTTTCATGGTCAAATTTTGCAGAGACCTAATTATTAATTTAATTGGTCCAATTGGAGGACTTTGTCATTGGTAAGAGTGCATGTGGTCCTATTTGTGAGAATTGAGACTTAAATAAGTAAAGAGTTTCCTAAAATAATTAAACGTCAGAGTTTTCTTCTCTCAACCATGTGAAGCAGAAGGAACTACAAGCAATTAGAAAAGTTATGTAAAGGTCAAGGGTTTAAAAGTTGTAAAAAATTTTAGCATTCAAATTGATTTAGGATCTGGAAAGATGCTACAGAAATAACTTTGAAGCAGTAATACCTTTAAAGTACGTTAATGAACCAATCAAACAAAACTTTTTACTGCCCTACCTGAGATAAAAGACTGGGAAAGACAGCTCTGCCAGGCTACTACTACCTCACAAAACCACCTCAAAATACAAGAAACACTTTTGATGGAGAAAAGAAGAAGAGATTAAGCTCTGCCCACATTCCCAACTTTGTCAACAGACTAACTACCACTATCTGTCAAATTAGCTTAAACTATTTTCCCCACAATGCAAATAATTACCCAAACGTATACGTTAATGACTGTGCATGAAAATTACTTCATAATTACCAACCAGAGATACTGGTAGGCATGAGAAAGATGAAAAGTTGTAAGGGCATAGGAACTGAGAGACACAGAGTGTTACTCCCATGAAAGGTAAAAAAGTTTGAATATAGTTAACATGAGTATATACATAACTGGCGGTATATTCCATCTCTACTTCTGTCCACTAAACCTATCAGCAAAATTAAAAGATTGGGCTTCTTACTCACTTTAAATTCAGAATAAAAGAAAGATTTTGTAGACACCTAGCCTATAACATGATTTTATTCTTAAAAGAATTACATATTATGCCTTCAAAAGATATATACAGAAAACTACCAGTTCCTCAATGCAGAAAATAACTATTCAATATGGATAGTTCTCTGTATACTAAGTTGCAGTTAAATACTATCATTAAATATCCTGTGTTACATTGTAAGAGAAGAAAAAAAAGTGTTTCTAACAGTAATTAACATCTCATATAAGGTCAAATACACTGACTAAGAACAAAAAAATCTAATTCTTCTGGCATATCTATAAGCCTTGCCAGCAAGATACGTACCTTGTAAGTAAACACCCATTCTGCAGTGGTTATTACCATCAGATTGTGAACTATTTTGCTGAAAAGTCCCTACAGAAAAAGAATAGAAGTTGCATGGGAAGATGTGACATGAGAAGAAGTGTTTCTTTGTGAAGTCTTAGTGCATTGCCCTAAGCACTTCACAGCACCGTGCCCCTTTCTCTGGAATATTCTCTGTATCTTTGCTCCATAAGCCACTTTTACCAATGGATGAACGTTGAAAAGTTTGCTTTCCATAGAAGATTTTTACAGGCATTTAATCTGTGTACACAAAATTATTTAAATTATTTTCACTATATTTAAAATAAAGGAGTAGTTTTCTTGACTTATGGCGATTCTTGAATTTGGCACCGGCAGTGTCTTACTGTGCAGCTCCAGGACAGATTTAAGCCAGCCTAAGGCGACATTGCCAGTATAAGGTGCAGTCCCTCTTTTCACCCTCTTCTAGCACTCATGCAACTTATTCTGCAAGAGCAAATTCTTCTTTTTCAATCAGATTAACGGCCTGAGCCACCTGATCACACAGGTGCCTGTCTTCCAGTGTCGGCACATGCAAGGGCCTGGCAATGCGTGGTCAGACATAACATCATCTTCCCACTCCAGGGATTTGCCTTCTCAGCAGCAGCACAGATTTCCACCAGCTTCACACAATTGTAACTCTGCACTCCAAGGCTCAGCTTGCTAATACAGTAAATCCAACCGTCAGGCTCCTACTATTGAATCAAAAAAATGAAGCAGAGACCTGATCTGCTATGAACTCACTCTGCCAATTTAAATTTGTTCAAAAACCCAATGTTTTTGGTACATTGACTTTGTACCAGCAAGCTTTATGCTGAATCAGGTATCATCTGTCCTACTGCAACTGGCATGAAGTCAGCATAAACACTGCATTGCATGCAGATGTTCTATGAACGACTGCTGAGCAACCACCTCCATTTTTCACAGATGTTAGGTTTGGGGACACAACCTGCAGCTAAGCTACCATAGGCCTGATTCTCTGAAGTTGATAACTATCCCCAACTACTGCTGAAGTTGAGAAAAGCTGAGGAATGGTTCTCTCTGCCTCTAAAGACCAAGCCTCACATGAACAGCTTGGGAAGAAGCAGAGCAATTTGACAGAACAAAGCATTCTTCAGGATGACAATTTGAAAGACAATATTTGATTCTGAGGGATTTTGATCTAGGGTAAGCTAGACTTCTCCCTTGTCCTTCAGCAAGATAGCACATACTCCAGCAGACTGACAAACTTGTGACCAAAAGCAAGAAAGATGAGAAATACTGTGCTAAAATTACACTGTACTTGAAAATGGTTTATTTGGTTAGATATTACAGAAACATCCCAATAAAAGGCACATTTATCTATCCACATATCACAGGAGCTAGATATGAACAGGTGAGTTAAAATATAAAAATTCAGCCCTACGTGCGTTTTATTGGTTTGGTCAACTGTGGCATAATTTTTCTATTATCCTGACTGTGTCTGACTGCACATTAGTATTAGAAATAATGGACAGGCGGTATAACAGTTGAGGGTTTTGGTGTTTTGTTTGGGTTTTTTTGGGGTTGTTTAAAGTCAGATTATAAATCTCTCATCCTTACACGGTCACGAGTAAGGGAGAAATGTATTTTACTAACAACTTTAAAACAAAACTCACAAATTACTACCATTTTGTTAAGTGCTAGATATCCCACTGTGCAGTTTTGCTTTGTGAATTTTTACCTTCTTCCATGCACACTTTTAGCCACTGATCGCACAGCCTTTCAGTGTTTTCTGCCTTTTCCTTTAAATAAACTGGCTCTGGCTCCTTCCATCTGGTTCCCCTTCCGTCAGCAACCCTGCACCTGTTCACACCTCCTCTCCTGTTGGATTCCACTGAACATTTCCTCCTCTGCCAGGGCTATTCTGGCACTCGCAACCTTTCTGTCATTCAATCCATCTGTCAGAAGTGAACTTTGTTTACCGCAAGCTTCTGCTTTCTTCTTCAAGAAGCAAAGCCCCTCAAGGTCATTGTCAAATGAACTGTCGGTGTGGATTTAAATCCACTTCTGCTAACCAGCAGAATATGAAGTTCTTTACAGTCCCATATTTGCAAAGAACGGTTTGGGGTAGAGGAGAAAGGAATACAGAAGCAAAAGAATAGATTTTTTCATCATTTGTTAACTCCAGCAGCTAATGTGTTTTTCTTCACATACGTATATTTGCACCTTCTTGCAAAGACTCGCATGATCTGAGAAAGACTTGCAGAGCTATGCAAAAAAGAGGAAAAGACTAATAAAAATATTATGAATAAAATAATAAATGGAAGCTTTTGACTCTAGTTTTAACACTGTGTAGCAAAGATACTGACTAAAAATGCAGAGGGAAATGGGAACAGCTGAATGAGTAAGTTTACAGTAAAACCTTAAAGCAGTGGCCAACAGCATTCACTGCAAATTATTTTATCTGCAGCATCTCTTTTTTTTTTAACTTACCTACTGATGTTTCAAATGAAACACAGTTTAAGTAACAAAAAAATCCCAAATATTTTTTTCTGTTTTCAAGCCTTGTAAAACACACATATGCAACTCTTTGTTAAAATACTCCCTTCCATGTTGAGACAAATTGCAAAGATTCTTTGTCAGGGCTGAGAGTAAATTCACATTGTCAACAGGATACATTATTTTTAGCAATTCCTGTGCCCCTATTTCTTTTCAGAAATACATTCTGATAACCACAAGCTCCTGAATTATTAACTAACCTCCTCAACAGTCACATTCTTCTAAAATAAGAAATACCTTTCAATTTCACTGCATGCCTAGGGTATCCTTTTAAAAAATAAAAAATAAAAAAAAAATCTTTCACCAAGATTAAATGCAGTACCAAAAAATGAAATACATATTTTAAGTTTTGTAAGCAATTATAACGAACCACCCATTTTATTACCCTTTTACCAAAAATTAATTTAAAGTAAAGCTTTTTGGGAGCAAATCCAGGAGGTAATCCAATCTCATTAGCAGAAATGCAGTTATACTTATGTTAGGTCTGAATTTGACTCTAATAAAAATTGCATTGACAAATACCACACAAGTTTAGCTGAATAATAACTTAATATTGATCTCTCTCTTTTATACGTGGATTAGTCCCTGAATTTGCTATGATCTTCTTCCATAGGAAACAACATGCAGGTGAACAAAAGCACTGGAAATAGAAGAGGAACTCTGGAAAATAAACAATATGGAGCAGTGTTTCTAACTACAGAGAAACTTTTATTCCCCAGTTTGTTTTCAGTTCCGGAGAAGGCAACTGAGCAACAAGAAGCTAATGAAGAACAGTTGCTCCTATTTCTACAAATACGTAGTTTGCTACTCAAACCACCAGGAACGCGGGGGCAACCAAGTGTGGCAGGCTTTGAAGCTTGCCAGGCTGCCAGCACAGCCAGGGGAAGGAGGTCAGCCCTGCCCTGCCGAGGAGCTGGCGGCAGAGGCTGCGCTCATCTGCTCGCCCAGGACAGGCATTGCCCAGCTCACACTGTCCCCCACAACAGTCACCAGCACGAGGACGCCAAGCAAGGGGATGAGGAGGGCAGCCAGGGAGCCAAGGCTCAGGTGATTTTTTTCTTCCTCCTTCCATCCACCAGGTACCTTCTCCAGAGGTGACAACCTACAGGCTGATGCTCTTCAGCATCAAGTTCGATAAAGTCTCCAGCTGAGGACTCTTTGGGTTCACAGTTGAATTTCTTCTAGACAAGAATTTCAGGAGCTGAAATTTACACAGAATTAAAAAAAACCCCAACAAACCAACAATCACTGTGACTGCACAAAATAAACAACTTCAAATATACTTTTGAAAGCAAAGGCAGCTTTAAAAATGGTTTCAGCTCACAAATACCAAGTGCTGATAGTAAAAGTACATTTTAGCTTGTTGTAAAAACAAGCTTTCAGATGTACTTGAGAAAAAAGCCCTAGAACAAGCCAAAAAGAAAGATAAAAATCAGAACCATTTTTCCAGTAGCAAATTCAGCAAAAAATCCAACAGCTTTGAATACATGCGTCTGAGAGATTTCTATGGTTAAAAAAAATAAATCATTATCCTGTTATCATTAGTCACACAAATAGACAACCTAATTTGAATGAGATCAAAGTAAATATTTGATATACAGGCATAAATTTATTACTGTTAGTGCTGAATAATAACTGCTCAAAACAAAGACATTCTAAAGATGTTTGTTTTCTACAGCAGTTAGTCTCTTCTGTATTTTATCTGAATTCACTGCTCGCTCCAAAGCGCTTTAAGTATTGTCACTGCTCCTGAACCACACTCTACATGCAGCAGCAATTTGGCTGCCTCAACAACCTGATGCGACGTATAAAAGATGAAATCATTAGAGAAATTTGATGTGACCAGTTGCAGTTTAAATGCCATGGAGAAAAATTTAGATTAATCTAAGACTAAAATCCAAGTATGTATTATTCCCTTTTCCTTGAGAAATTTATATTGTAGGACAATTATTAAATTGTTAACCATGTTTAAACTCTAAAAATGAAAAAAATAATTAAGATGATTTATAAAGACTTTAATATTAAAAATTAACACACGATTTTGGATTTATTCTTTATTTCTTCAATCATATTTTCTTTCTGTTTTAAACTTCATCAATGGCCTTTACATGTTTGTACAATTATCTTAAATATATTTAAATGATTAAATAGGTATTTAAATGATTGTGTATTATCTTGACACAGAGTATATCAGCTTTAAAATTTCTACAAGGCCCTGCCAGAAGACGACAGAGCCGATTTATTTCAAATCGCTCAGTATCAGTCTTCATAAAGCAGCATATGGTCTTATCATGTCAGGTAAAATATTTTACCTTCTATAATAACGCAGAGCAGCTAATTTATCTACATGCTGTATAATCAGATAAACAATTTCAGCTGCACTATGAAAACCTGTAGGCAAGGGAGAAATTTATCCCCCCCCTCCCCCCCCAACTTTATTGACTTTTCTGCCTATACATTCACAGAATTGCTAACAACAGAGGTTATTCTTTCTTCCATCCCCTTCTTCAATTACCTTAAAGCAAGACCTTCTTTTCAGTTGTGGAAATATTTGCAATTTCTACAGTTGCAGGACAAAGAAATGAGACATTTCCACAGTTTGCTTGGGGGAAAAGGAAGGGGAAAAAAAGCTTTGCAAGATTCTGTTGCAAGTAAAGCAGAGTGAATGACAACTTTCAAAGCTTCCACAATCATTTACTAATGTGCTGCTATACCAAATAAGTCTAATTTTTTTTTGACAGCACCAAATTAGATTTATTGCAGAAACTGATGCATAAATAGCATATGGCTATGTTATACCACCTATTTCAAATCCCGGTAATGTTTCCTCCCCTCCCCGCTCTAAATGAATAATTGAGCCAAGCTATAAACCTTCTGCAGATGAGAGATATACAAGTTCAAAAAGCAGATGCAGGAGATGTAGGTTTCTTTGTTGAAATTGTTTAAAAGTGTATCACATATCCCGATCAAACAAAACTGGGCAGTAATACGTCAGGCCTCCCTTGCTGCACGTCAGGATTTTATTTCCCTCTTTCCTTGATAAAACTTTGTTTCCATTTCTCTTTCAGGCTGACAGTCATCAACACGGGGCATGATCTTGTAATCCTCTGACTACCTCTTGTAATCATGACTACCTCTTACTTGCACAAGAAATCCTATTGATCTTTACTTCTTATGTGAGTAAAATTATTCACGTGACTCAAGATCAGAAGGCTCAGACCTCCATTCATTCCTCACAAGCTCTCATTTATGAAGACGGAAGTGCCTCCTCCGAGCAAAAAGAAAACATCAGAAAACTGGTTTCATTCATCAGAGGGGCCCAACCCTGTGGGAAGGTGCCGACCTACAGCTCTCCCCCGCTTTCAACAGGAGCAAAGTTTTCTTATCGCTTTGCTGGATCAGTCCCCGCACCCACGTGCTTTTGTATTTCTGTCAATCGCCAAATTCTGTGCTCAGTATGCTGCCACAATAAAACACAAAAACACGCATCCTCATCATCGGCAGCAAAGACGCGTATTTTCGAGGTAGCGAGGGGCACAACACACCTAGGCAGGACGTGCCAAACCCCAGTGGGCCGCACAGGGCTCCCGGCTCGTGCCTCCCCTCTTCCCTCCTGGGGGATGAGGCCTGTCCAACGCCCTCAAAGTTTGTGCGGTCGCCGCCCGGAAAAAAAGACCTTGCAAGGTCTTCTCTCCGGCCGGCGGGCACACCGCCCGGGGGGGTTGGGGCTCCCCCGCCGCTCGCCGCGCGGTGGTCAGTCCTCCCAGCTGCCCTATCCGTTACTGTCTGATTAGCTCTGCGAAGGAGCCCCTCCCCGGCCAGCTTTCCCTGCCATCTGTTCCACACGCGATGGCTGCCGCCCAGCAGCCTCGCGCTGCCCTCCTACCTGGCACCCGGCTCCCGGCCTTACCCCAAAGTGCTAACACAGGTTCTCGCTGCTGGCAGAGTCAGGATTTCATTACTACTACTTTGACAAGTGCAGGGTTGTTTGTAATTTCTCTTTTATCCTGATTTTGATTGTACAACCACCTCCCACTGATTCAGTTTGCTTCAGTTTTGTTGCTCACAGATTTTACTCTCCACATTAATCTCCCTCTGGCATGTTACTGCATCTGTTCCCTTTTTTATTATTAATTTTCAAATTCCCACCATTTTTGACAAAAAGGAGGTAATCTGCACTCTGCTTCTGCCCATTTCATTTTCTTTAATTTGGAAGATAAGTATGAAAGCGTGCCAAAGAAGTTAATTCTCCGTTAACAGTTTATTTTCTGGCATACCGATGCCTTTGTATATGAAAAACAGATAGAAATAAATGTTGACTGAATCACAACAACATAGTTGCAACCGTCCCTAAATTTAATGAAAAGTAAACATATGAAGCACAATCTAAAAAGTTTATTAGTTATCAGAGTTGTTTCATGTTATCACTCCTCCCTGCATTTTAAAATAATAGTTTTGTACAAGATGAACAGAATATAAAATAAAAGAAATCGACCACTGCTTACACTTCATTTCTGCTTCTCTCCTCTCTGCCCCCCCAATTTAAGTGTTATTGGTCCTTTCATCAGTCACTCTAGGAACATAAAACTTATCTCAGTCATTTAATGCCAGTAACAGCATTTCTTCAAATGTTACCCATTTTCCAGCATAGATAACAGACTCTTTCTGACGTGCTAAAATTGTTGACAAAAGCACGACAGCAAGTTTGCTGTTAGCTAATAGATACTACTAGAAAAAAAAAACCCAAACAAGAGATAACACTAAGTAATGTGCAACTTCCTAGAAGGCTATATAGAACCACCTTCTATGAATCAAGAATTTAGTTTACATTTTATCACTTAATAATATAATTTAAATAGGGAAATCAATGTATGAGGCATACTGCAACCGTAACAAGGAACGCTGATGACGACATACATAGCAAAGCTTCAGTAACTAAATAATGCCACAGGAACCTGGAAGTGGAACAATAATTTATGTGCTTTATGTATTACACATGTAATGCAAATTAGCGTTAATGGAGTCATTGAAACTAGCAAGGAGGACGGATGCACAGTAGAAAGGCTATAGCACTGCTAAAAACCACTGTCCTCCCCAGATGCCACTTTCTGCTTTCTAGATATAATATAATTTTCAAAAATAAGGAAGGAAAGGACATAAACCACATAAAAGGAAAAAAAAATAATCAAGAACCACATCACTCATTGACCTCACTAATATAAGCCTCTATCCTTCAAGAGAGCCACACAAGGATCCAGGGTAGCTTGGCAGGTCATTTGAACCTGGAAGCACAGGTTCTCCCTACCTACAAGTTGACAGTCAATGCTGCTTGCAACGTTTCATATAAGCACACAAGAACAGTAAAAAAATAAATTAAATTATATCTGCTTCAACTCCACTCAACTACACCTCCCAGCAAAATTTAGATGACATTCCAGTCAAATAGATCTCAAGCCATCTACCTATCTCCATGCCTGAGAAAATGCATGGTGGTATAGAAAAAGTTCAGTTTTGAAATTCAGTGATTCCGTCAATTCTTAAGATTTATTTAACTGCTTTGGCATATGCAAACAGACACTGCATCTGGCTGCAACAAACAATTACTAACTTCAGATTTGTTTTGTAAGAAAAAAATGAAAGATTTTTAATGACTATTGTGTTACACAAGAATAATGAAAAATGTTATTTAAGTAGATGACATGCTAAGATCTGGATAAGTTGTTAACAACTTGCATCTTTTGTGTGATCCTTTCCAGTAGCATACAGACATGATTTTTAACGATTATTCTCTCATGAACTACGAACAATAGATCTGTATGTTTTATACTCTCTGAAGAATGGATTCAGATAAGCTTCATTAGCAAGACCCAAACCTTGCCAAAGTAACGGCAATTTAACGTTGACTTCAGAAGTAATTTCTTAAAATTATCTTGCTACAAGCAACTCTAATACAAATAACCACAAAGCTGAAACTAGGGTAAAAAAAATTAAAAATACTTTAAACAAGTATGGTCAGTCTCTCACAGCATGGTGACATCTGCAAAGTTATATGACTGACAATAAAAACTACACAGAAGAAGTTCTGTATTTTCTCAGTCATTTAAAGACATACAAATTAGAATTACTAACTAGATTCAATAGCAGGAAATGCATGTTAATAGCACGGATTTCTAAGCAACAT